ATTGATCCAAAATTTATCAACCAATCAGGAACGTTATGTACAAAAATAGGAACAAAATGCAAACCAATGGGAGATACAACCAAAACAAAGAAGTAATCAATGATAGATTTAAGGTCAACAAGAACCAATCAACATCGAGGTGTACAGGATAAGCTGTGAACCACAGGTGGAGGACGTTGAACACTTAACTTCTATCTGGATTTTTTGCCGGTGATGTAAGCTCTATGATCAAATCATTGTGCTCAGAGCGATAGACTCCGTGAAAATCATCCACATGAGCTACACATCTTTTCCACCATATATCATGACCACCACTAAAGATCGATTACACGTCAATGACCAGGTTAAACCCACTGGATAAGATAAATATTAGAAGGACAGTTGTGAATGGTAGTTAGGATGAATTGGTTGATGGCCAATTGAAAAATAATAATGATATTTCGAAAGAGCTAATATGAACTCAATTCAGAAACAGAATATTCCGGCTAAATTAAACTATTTGGTGCAACAATGAAATGATTCAAAACTCCATAGGTCGTTTCATTGCGAAACGACTAGTGATGTAATATGTAAGAAACATTTTCAAAGGAGGTCGGCTGATTCACAGCCAATCACATGTCTTGTATTCACTGTCTTACAAACTTATATTAGACTTCTAGTCTAAACAGGAAATTTGCCGTATTTGCAAGATAAGCAAACTGATTCTGTTTGGAATCTTATAAAGCACAGCAGTGATATACTAGACCAGCACACTCCGTTGAGAAAATCACATGTCCCAGTGCAGAAATTCGATGTGAACAGAAACGGTTAAGGTAATGAATTGATTTTCGTGGGTGATCCACTCTATTAAAGTAATGCTGTCACTGATCCTGTGAGATGGGAACAGACAAAATGTGACAAACTCGTTAGATAATAAACGAAATTATCTCAGTTCGAAACAATCAAATAATGGAGAATAAATTGTTATTGATTGTCATAATAGAAGCAGGTACCAACATTCCGTTGAGATATTTCAGGACTACATAATGCGGTTCACGATCATAATGTTTAACGAGAGTGCAACACTAAAGCAAGCGCAAAAACCAAATATTGTCACATCAACATCGAACTGGACCTAGAGCTGTGTGAGGAAGTAAAAGTCAGATGATCATCAGTAGCTTTTACGACAACATACAGGTGACAAAAAAAGATGGGCATGAAAACCACAATGATATTCATAATGAAAAAACCAATACAGTTCTACTTACATTCAAAAAAGTCCGGAAGAAATCGGTTCATCTCAAACGAGAATATTTCAAAAATCCATGTGAATACCATCGAATGACTGAAGCGATTGACTGATGCTTAAACAGTTTTCCTTTGACTTGGTTAGCTGAAAGTCCAGAACGAATCGATTCAACTCAAATGTGAATATTTTACTAAACTTTGTGGACACACTTGAATGTGTGATGAAACAGAATTCCTTCGACTTGGTTCGCTGAACGTCTGATTGCATAATATTATAATAAGTTTCCATCATCTAATCATCACCATATCACTTGACAGCTGTCATTTAATCTGTTTCATTCTATATTCGTGTAAACTCCCACAGTGTAATTCAGTGTGATATGGCAAAGTTTGTATTGATCCAACTGGTCAGAAATGAATGAGTTACTATGAGCAGACACCTGATTGGTCAATCAGTGGATATCGAAAATTCCACCAATCAGGTGCTTCATCTCCACTATATAAACAGTAGTAGTAGCAGCTGCAGTTGTCATTTCTTATGCCAATCATGCTACATCAAATGACTGAACATTCGTTCATTATCACTGCATTCATTTCAATTTGTCTTTTCAATGACTTTCACACACAAACGAATGTGGCAAATAACTTTACATTGTTATCGTCATGTGAGCAGTGCCCGAAATGTAATACAACTAATATGCATTGCAACTATTCACAATGGATAAGCAGATTAGGAGTACCAAAGATATCGTTTATACAAGACTACTGGTTAGAGGCAGTCGAAACAAAATCAGACTGCCTCACTAAATGCCGATCGTATCCACAGTGTAACTCATACTCATATGAAGTTGTAAGTTTAAGATACGTTTTGCATTTGCATTTGACATGTAAATATCGAACAGATATATATTATTAATATGCGCTACTATTTGTCTTCGGTTGAACTGTCTGATGATAGACCTAACTTCATTAGCATTCAATAACATAAGGCACATGATGCTTTCTTACCACAGACACAACTAAACTGTGTCTATTCTACATTGTTGACAAGCTCTGATTAATACCATTGATTTTATACCCAGATGCACATTATCCTTCTCAATGAATTGTGAAGCATCACTTTACTGTCAGACGAATGTTGATCGAGTATGTATGTGTGGTTATCTGACATGTTAATCAAATGATTGACGATAGAGAGAAACTAATTGACGGAATTCAATCAAGTTGTAGTTGATCAAATGCTGGTTTATTTCAATGTTTCCCATATTCCGTTTGTATCCAGATTAGTTAGTGGTGAGGTGAAATGGAATAAATCAATTGTATACCACTGTGTAACACTATCTCAATTGTGATCAACCAATCCACGAACTAACTGTTCACTGACTAAACATCGATTTATCATTACGTTTAACAAACTAGTTATGAATTCGACTTGCCCCTTTCCATAGTACAGTAGTTCTTTGTCCAACAGAACTTCTCTATAATATTGTTTTGTCGAAATACTTCCGACAGTTACGTAACATCCAGTCGACCTCATTGTCTCCAATCAAACTGAAAATGATCAACTTATTCTATTCCTATTGAAGATATTGCTATATGTAGATGTAGACACGAAACGTTGGTCGTTTCAGTGTACTGAGTGTTTCAATCAAATGCTACATTTCCACCATTCCATGTATGAATTCAATGTATCAGTTAAAATTCAATCTTGTTTATTCTTGTTTACAGCTCGAACCGAAATGGTGCGATCTATATTCTGGGCTAATTGAACATGCTACGATAATTATCATTACAACTAAACAAGTGACTGGAGGAAGAGTGTGTTGTTGTAAGTTCAAATCATTTTTATGATCATGATCATAATGAGAAATGAGGAATTTTTCCAATATCAATAATTAGGTCCAGTGTATTACGGTTTGTATCATTAAGGGTAGTTGTGTTGTTCTATTCGGTGAACTGAAGTGACACATATCATTCGGAAATATGTAGTTGACATAAAGAAAGAAGCGAGTGTTTTTCAGTGTCAAGTTGATCGGTAGATGTGAGCTAATTGTGACTGATAAATGCACAGTATGTTAACTGTGCATGGAAATGTGATCCAGTCATTCATTCATTTAGTCAGCCAGTCATTCATTCATTCAGTCACTCAGTTAATCAGTAAGCAACAGTTGACGGATGTTACAGAAAAGTGAAGTTAAGTGAAGTTTAGGAGTGAAATAAGTTTTGTGTAAGTGTGTGTACAGTTGAAGTCCCGGTCAACATTCGCCCAACTTCACATATTCTAATCAGCTTTCACTAACAAATTGCTCAGCCAGAATGTTTTGAAACTTCCATCCTCGAAGCATCTCCTTCCACCAACATGTTTCAATAGTTGCTTGCTTGGCATATCTGTAGTTCCTCGAATGATTAGTCTATAGACTGAAAGAATTGAATGAATCAATAAGGCTGATTGGACAAATTCCAATTGATTGTGGTAAGAGAATAGTCAAGTTCACACTGTCAGTATGTACAATTCACAGAATACTGTTGATCGCAATCACTGAGCATGATTCAATTTCATATGACACTAATTTGTTACTGATTATCTATGTGTGAAATGTAACATGTTGGTGAATATTTCACTGCAGTTTTATGTTTGCGTAATTGGTTTGCACTAATCTAGATCAATCATCTAAGTAAATCGATAAATCTTTCGAAACCTTTTCTCTTTCACATTCTTGTTCTCCTTCTGCTTGCATCGTTAAACCATTGTACATTCAATATAATTTGTAAATGTGTGTTATTCATTCGTCTACTGACTACTCACTACTGTACTCTACTGTACTCTACTGTACTCTACTGTACTATACTGTACTATACTGTACTGTACTGTACTGTACTGTACTGTACTGTACTGTACTGTACTGTACTGTACTGTACTGTACTGTACTGTACTGTACTGTACTGTACTGTACTGTACTGTACTGTACTGTACTGTACTGTACTGTACTGTACTGTACTGTACTGTACTGTACTGTACTGTACTGTACTGTACTGTACTGTACTGTACTGTACTGTACTGTACTGTACTGTACTGTACTGTACTGTACTGTACTGTACTGTACTGTACTGTACTGTACTGTACTGTACTGTACTGTACTGTACTGTACTGTACTGTACTGTACTGTACTGTACTGTACTGTACTGTACTGTACTGTACTGTACTGTACTGTACTGTACTGTACTGTACTGTACTGTACTGTACTGTACTGTATTGTACTTCACTATGTCAGACATTCTGTAACTAAATGTGAATAAACTATTCATTTGTTGTTCACTATGTGTTGTTCTTTCAAATAAATCTCTGAACACTGAATGTAGATTTCTATTCATCGAAATGACAGTCATATGCATTTTAATTGGTAAGGTGATTGGATCATGTTTCCTTTCATTGAGAACATTGAAACATGTGAACAATATCAATAAGAAGTTTCGAAATTGTAGTTGATTGTAGAAACGAGTAGGTTGACCGATTCGATTATCTCAGTAAATGACACCAGTTGACTGATTTCTTCAAACGGAACATTCAAATTAACGAAGTTACTAGTCGATCTCACCAAATTCGAAGATCATGCGACGTGAAGCGGATGAGTGAATGTAGATTAACGTGACCACTGGAATTATCATTTCTAGACACTGATTTCACTCATATGAAATAACATAAACTGGGCAACAATATCGCTGGACTGAATAATCAATAACAAATACATCCTGTTTGACATAGTGAATATCAATTACTCAATCCATATCCGTCTGTTCATTGTCATGACAAGTATTACAGTAGTGTTATGATAGAAGATACGAATCACTGGTGTACCGTACTGTATACATTCATGTTGTTGTGGTGTCGTTAAACTGGGAAGTGGATTGAAATTCGCTGACAGTTTTGCAAAGTACAGTATTTTCAACTGACAAAACATTCAACGAAAGCGTGTTTGAATGATGCCAAAGTGATTCGGATAACTCAATGTAATTGAATGATTTCAGATAGGTATTTGGAAGTGTTAACTCTTCAATAAGTTGTTGGATGTTAGTTAAACACTGAAAATTCTTTCATTTGCGTCCAACTGATTTAGTAATTTGAAGCGTACATTCAAGAGACTGCAGTAGTGATTGAGCAGTCAAGGTATTCTGCACAATTGCATTAAAGGAATGAAATGTCAACATAGAATGTAATGGGTGTAGGATTGTGGAAACGTACAAATTGGTAAAGTTATTCGTTGACAGAATAATTCATTTAGAATGAGTCATATTGTGAAGCTTGATGAGGCTTGTTCAAATCACACTGACAAGTAATCGAGTTACAAGTTTCCCGATTCACTTTCTACAATAATCCCATGTTGAAACTATGTTCAATGAATATTCAGTCAGCATGACTAATGGTCAGTCATCAGCAGCGACAAGACAAATGTGGAATCGGTCTATACTCTGTAGGTGCGAATGCAAACCCTTAACGAATGGTCTATTAAATAGAGTCAGAATACGTGAATATTGACACATATCGATGAGGTAAAGTGATTTCAAGTTGATTGTTTGCTTTACTTGTTTAGTATAAGTCACCCATAGATAGAGAGGTTGATGTAAATTCGGAGGAGAGGAAGGGAGTAAAATCTGCTATATTTATTTAGGACACAATATGAGAATTATACAAGATCAATCCAAATGTAGCTGTGAGTGACACAGACTGTATATAGTAGACTGGGAATAACTTACCATGTACATACAGCCCATGTGGTCTCTATGATAGAAACACAGTGTTGTTTAACATTTAATCGATGTTTATCAATAAAATATGGACAACACTGATGCATAAAGAATGAATGGGATAAGTTAACCGGACTACAAACCTACCTCATTGTTTAACAATATACAAACACGTGAGTGTAACAGAGAAATAGGGAGGCATGATGTAAATAAACAAACATAATGACTAGAGTACAAATTCCATCACATGAATAGATGAAATTGTTTATTTACATGATGATAACCATTGTAGGTAGAGGTCAAGTTAGTAGTAGAGATAGGAAATGTCTCATTTAAAAAAAGGGAGTTTCAATTTCATCTCATATATGATCAAAACATCTGCAAATAATCAAATGTTGCCACCATTGAGTAGATTGTTTGAACGACAATGAAATACGGTTATGAGTTAGTTGTGTTATAGAGGTCAATAAAGGGTTTGAAGATGAAACTTCTAACTGATCTCGTTTTATACTTGTGGAAACAATTTAAGACGAATTATCGTTCAGTGGGTGAAAGTTAACTGTATCCTCAACTAATTCATCATTTATCATACTAAGATTCAGAGTCTATTATCGTCATTTGATAAGTCAAATGTAAACACAAACAAGTGAGCTTGTTATATTTCAACATCTGAATATCATCCTGAACCAGCCTATAGAAAAGATAGTTGGACGCACTTTGTGCTGCACATACATACCATCATTTATTCCATATGTCTATGAGGATGAAATGATAACCACGGATGGTAGACAGAAAGACTGTAGAATGTACGTTCTCCCAAAATCTTCAGTAAACTAATTGATTGTTTGATTATCACCGATTCATCTCAATATCAAGCTATTCTGTTCTAAACAAAAATAATATTATTGTTGTTATAATTAGTAGTAGAGAATAGGAAACGTTTGCAGTTCGACTGTACGAAGTGTTTCAATGAAATGTCAAGTGTCCAATTTCAACCATTATGATTATGATTATGATTATAATGATTAATATTAGATGGAATGCTGCATACATCAATCATTTGATGTATGAATTGCAGATCTAATAAGTTACATTTCAAACTTCTCCTTATTTACAGCTCAAACCGAAATGGTGCGATCTGTATTCTGGACTGATTGAAAACGCTACGATAACTATGGATTCAACTGACCATGTAACTGGAGGAAGAGTGTGTTGTTGTAAGTTGAAATCTTGTTTATGATCATGGTAGTGATAATAATCATAATCATAATGAGGTGGAATGTTTCGAATATCCAGTGTAATTAGGGTCAGTGTATTATGGTTTGTATGATTAAGAGTAGTTGTGTTGTATTCTATTTCGGTGAACTGAAATCACATATATCATTTGGGAATATGTAGTTGGCATAAAGAAAGAAGCAAGTGTTTACACGCTAAGCTGACCGGTAGATCGGAGCTGATGTTTACTGATAAATGCATCGAGTGTCCATTGTGCATAGAAATGTCAGTGAGCAGTCAGTCAGTCAGTCAAAATGTCAGTGAGCAGTCAATCAGTCAGTCAGTCAGTCAGTCAGTAAGTAAGCAACGGTTGACGGAGGTTACAGAAAAGTGTTAAGTGAAGTTTAACAGTGAAATACGTTTCATCATCACAGTGTGTGTATTTGAAGTTCCAGTCTGCATTCTCGCAACTTCAGATATTCTAATTAGACTCAACTTACAAATTCCTCACAACATCACCAATCAGAATGTTGCAACTTCTCTCTTCGAAGCATCTCCTTACACAGTTATGTTTGTAAAGTTGCTTCACATATCTGATGTTGCTCGATTCACTATAGTGTAGACAATTACGCATGAATAAATAAGAATGTTTGTGGTAAGTAAACAGACAAGTTCACACTGTAAACTACGTACAATTCATGGTATTCACAATCACTCATCATAATGATTGTTCTTATTAAGTAAACTGTTTGCTGAATATATATAGTCTGTTGAATGTTATATATTAGTGAGTATTTCATTCGGTTTGTATAGATGCATATTTATAGTTACCACTAATATAAGTCAATCATCTATGTACATCGGTCACTCTTTCAAACCATTTTCCATTTTCCATTCTCCTCCTTCATATTCCTCTTCTGCTTCTTCTTCTTCTTCTTCTTCTTCTTCTTCTTCTTCTTCTTCTTCTCCTTCTTCAGCTCCCTCCTCTTCTTCTTCATCTTAAGTCCTCAAACAATTGTACATTCAATGTAATTTGTAAATGTGTTTTGTTCAGTCATTTACTGACTATTGTACTGTACTGTATTTTAATGTACTTTACTGTACTGTACTGTACTGTACTGAACTGTACTGTACAGCAGTGTAGTGTATTGTACTTCACTATGTCAGACATTCTGTAACTAAATGTAAATAAACTATTCATTTGTTATTTACCAAGTGTTGTTCACTCATATCAATCACTGGACAGTGAGTGTAGATTTCTTATAGTGGAAAAGACAATCATATGCATTGCAATTGATAAGAGGATTATGTTGAGTATCGTTCATGCATAACACTGAACTATATGTGTGAACAATGTGAAGAAGAGAAACTGATGAGATTGTAGTTGACTGTAGAACGAGTAGGTTGACTGATGCGATTCTCTTAGTAAATGACACTGTGTGACTGATTAGTTGGAACGGAACATTCAAACTAGCGAACTGACTAGTACATCTTACTAAACCGATCATCATCATCATCATCATCATCATCATCCAAATCATCATCATCCAAATCACCATCATCATCACATCATCCAAATCATTATCATCATCATCCAAATCATCATCATCATCCAAATCACCATCATCATCATCATCATCCAAATCATCATCATCATCATCATCATCATCATCATCATCATCATCATCATCATCATCATCATCATCATCATCATCATCATCATCATCATCATCATCATCATCATCATCATCATCATCATCATCATCATCATCATCATCATCATCATCATCATCATCATCCAAATCATCATCATCCAAATCACCATCATCATCACATCATCCAAATCATTATCATCATCATCATCATCCAAATCATCATCATCATCATCATCATCATCATCATCATCATCATCATCATCATCATCATCATCATCATCATCATCATCATCATCATCATCATCATCATCATCATCATCATCATCATCATCATCATCATCATCATCATCATCATCATCATCATCATCATCATCATCATCATCATCATCATCATCATCATCATCATCATCATCATCATCATCATCATCATCATCATCATCATCATCATCATCATCATCATCATCATCATCATCATCATCATCATCATCATCATCATCATCATCATCATCATCATCATCATCATCATCATCATCATCATCATCATCATCATCATCATCATCATCATCATCATCATCATCATCATCATCATCATCATCATCATCATCCAAATCATCATCATCATCATCATCATCATCATCATCATCATCATCATCATCATCATCATCATCATCATCATCATCATCATCATCATCATCATCATCATCATCATCATCATCATCATCATCATCATCATCATCATCATCATCATCATCATCATCATCATCATCATCATCATCATCATCATCATCATCATCATCATCATCATCATCATCATCATCATCATCATCATCATCATCATCATCATCATCATCATCATCATCATCATCATCATCATCATCATCATCATCATCATCATCATCATCATCATCATCATCATCATCATCATCATCATCCAAATCATCATCATCATCATCATCATCATCATCATCATCATCATCATCATCATCATCATCATCATCATCATCATCATCATCATCATCATCATCATCATCATCATCATCATCATCATCATCATCATCATCATCATCATCCAAATCATCATCATCATCATCATCATCATCATCATCATCATCATCATCATCATCATCATCATCATCATCATCATCATCATCATCATCATCATCATCATCATCATCATCATCATCATCATCATCATCATCATCATCATCATCATCATCATCATCATCATCATCATCATCATCATCATCATCATCATCATCATCATCATCATCATCATCATCATCATCATCATCATCATCATCATCATCATCATCATCATCATCATCATCATCATCATCATCATCATCATCCAAATCATCATCATCCAAATCACCATCATCATCACATCATCCAAATCATTATCATCATCATCATCATCCAAATCATCATCATCATCATCATCATCATCATCATCATCATCATCATCATCATCATCATCATCATCATCATCATCATCATCATCATCATCATCATCATCATCATCATCATCATCATCATCATCATCATCATCATCATCATCATCATCATCATCATCATCATCATCATCATCATCATCATCATCATCATCATCATCATCATCATCATCATCATCATCATCATCATCATCATCATCATCATCCAAATCATCATCATCATCATCATCATCATCATCATCATCATCATCATCATCATCATCATCATCATCATCATCATCATCATCATCATCATCATCATCATCATCATCATCATCATCATCATCATCATCATCATCATCATCATCATCATCATCATCATCATCCAAATCATCATCATCATCATCATCAT